TAGTCCTTACTTTCTACATGCTAATGAAAATCCTTCATTAGTACTCGGTTTCTCCTGTTCTCTCCGATTCTAACTATCACTCATGGGCAAGATCCATGAAAATGGCATTGCTATCAAAAAATAAACACAAATTTGTGGATGGTTCTATTCCAGCTCCTACAATGACCGATCCTTTGTACTCTAGCCGGGAAAGGTGCAACACAATGGTGCTTTCATGGCTAGTCAATTCGGTTTCTGTTCTATTGCTCACGACATCCTCCGGTTAGACACAGCAGTCGAGGTTTGGAGAGATCTATGAGAGAGATTTTCTCATGGAGATTCCTTTCGTATTGCGGACCTACAAGATGACATTTACGCTCTTCATCGTGGTAATGAATTTATAACACAATATTTCACTCAATTAAAAATCCTTTGGGAAGAACTAATGAATCTAAGGCCGGTGCCATCTTGTTCCCGCAATCCCCGATGCAATTGTGAAGCTCTTAAAGTTGTGAAGGATTATCAAATGAATGACTATGTGATCGGATTTCGAAAGGATTGAATGAAAATTACTCCACGATTAAATCACGGATTATGCTTCTTGATCCCTTGCTCGAGATCAATAAATTATTTTCTCTTGTTATTCAACAAGAGAGGCAAATGTCTTTAGTGTCCGCCTCACCTAAATCACACACTCGAAGCACCACCCACTCGCCTTCATGAGCGAGAGGAGTCTCTACCTCTAATTTTCAAAGAAAGTTCATGGGATTTCAAGGAGGTTCATCTACTAGACCAATGTGTTCTTATTGTGGTCTACCGAGTCATGTGGCGGATACATGCTACAAAAAGCATGGTTTTCCTCCGAGCTACAAATCCAAAACTAGAGCTTTTGGAAATGGTTCTTCCTCTTCCGAGTCTATTAATATTCATCGGCGAAAGAATCCTACGAATCGATTAAAGCAGCTAGTTTATCTACGGAGCAAGTGCATGTCCGGGCATAGTGTTGAGAATCTTGAATCCGCCGACTATCCCAATCCCGCTCGCAAAACCTAACACTTGTGTCACACTCGCCTCCTTCCATTTCTCTCACACAAGATCAATATGCAAACTTGATGGCTTTAATTCAATCTCCTAAAATCAACTCTCCAGTCCACATCAACTCCCTCCAAACCGATTTTCCTTCTTGCCATATGACGAGTACCTTAGTATCTTCCTGTCATTCCAATTCTCATACTTGTCCGTGTATCCGGATTTTAGATACTCGGAGCTACGGATCATATAGTATGCTCCCTAAACCTTTTTAGTCAATATCACCTTATTTCTAATATGCTTGTTAAATTGCCAACTCGGTCAACAAACTTCAATTACTCACATTGGTACTTGTCCCTCTATCATCATCCTTGGTATCGCTTAATGTCCTATATGCACCCTCATTTTCTTATAACCTTGTTTCGTTGCTAAATTGACTTCGACTCACATTGTTGTTTGATCTTCAAACTCGATATTTGTGTGGTACAGGACTCGAAAAGCTTAAGGATGATTGGTATAGCTAGGAAATTCCAAGGCCTTTATCATTTTTTGGTTTCGCATCTTCTTCATGTGGCCGGACCCGTTCGTTCCCCGCAATTCAACTTCCACCACAAAGTCTTCTCGCCATCCTTCGGCACAATAGGTTGGGGCATCCCTCTATTCCTTGAATTAAAAGTCTCCAAGCTCTAGATTCTACTATTGTAGCTGAAAATGTTTCTCCATGTGAAACTTGTCATCTAGCTAAACAAAAGAAACTTGTTTTTCCCGTAAGCCAATCCGTTAATTCAACTTGTTTTGAACTCATTCACATCGATATTTGGGGTCCATTTCCAGTAGCAACTCTCTCTCGGTCATCATTATTTTCTTACCATAGTGGATGATTTTAGTCGATTTACTTGGGTTTTCTTAATGAAATTGAAATCGAAGCTAGAGTTCGATGCAAAATTTTTGTTCCTTTGTTCATACTCAATTCTCTCGCCAAGATTAAATGCATCGAACCGACAATGGTCGGGAATTTAATATGCCTACATTCTATCATCTCCATGGCATCATCCACCAAACCACTTGTATCTCCACTCCACAACAAAACAAGTGTTGTTGAACGAAAGCATCAGCATATACTAGCGAGTAGCTAGATCCTTGAGATTTCGATCTAATCTTCCCTTATCTTTTTGGGGGGATTGTGTTTTGCATGCCGTATACTTGATTAACTCGTTTACCCTCTCCTATTCTTCAAAATAAAACATCATTTGAACTCTTGTACAATAAACCACCTCAATTCTCACATCTAAAAGTGTTTGGTTGTCTCTGTTTTGCATCAACCTTAGCTCAATCACGATCCAAATTTGCTCCTGAAGTCGTCGGATGCATTTTTCTTGGTTATCCACATGGAACAAAAGGCTACAAATTATACAATCTTATAACTCATCAACTTTTATATCCGGAGATGTTCTTTTTTATGAACACCTCTTTCCTATGCGATCCAACCCTTCCTATCTTCCCTCCGATCTTGTTTTACCATCTATTCCTATTTCGGACCTTACTTCTAATTCTCCTTTATCTCCTACTCCGTGTTCTTCACCTCCTATCAATCATGTTGTTCTTGTGTCTATAACTACCGTTGATCCCACTAATCCCGTTCCTCCACCAGTTCGAAAATCCTCTAGAATCAAACATGTCCCCTCTTATCTTCGGGCCTATGATCACTCCCTCATTCCACATGCCGGTTCTACCAATCATCCCTCAATAGCGAGGTTCTGCTATCTCTCCATAAGGTACTTCTCCACACTCTCTTAATAATGTTTTTTCTTACTCACACCTTAGTCCCTCTCATCACATATTCTCTGCCAACATTACACAAACGTCCGAACCAAAAACTTACCATGAGGTCGTCAAACACGAGTGTTGGAGAATTGCTATGCGAGGATGAGATAAAAGCTCTTCAAGATAACAACACTTGGGTCCTCACGGATCCGCTTCGTAGGTAAGCAACCAATTGGGTGCAAATGGGTTTATAGGATTAAACACAAATCCGATGGTAGCATTGAGAGGTTCAAAGCTCGCTTGGTGGCCAAGGGCTACACCCAGCAAGTCGGCATTGACTATTTGGATACATTCAGATCCTATTGCTAAGATGACTACCATCCGTACTTTCGTTGGCGTTGTCTTCCATCAAACGATGGAATTTAGAACAATTGGACATCAACAATGCTTTCTTGCATGGTGATCTCCATGAGGAAGTGTATATGTGCCTTCCTCTAGGTTTTCGATCCATTGGTTCAAATCAAGTTTGTAAACTTGTTAAGTCTCTTTATGGGTTGAAGCAGGCTAGCGGACAATGGTTCGCTAAACTCTCTATCGCCCTCCTTGCTCAAGGTTTTTCCCGAGCGATCGCGGATCATAGTATCTTTGTTAGAGGCTCGGCTCCCACTTCCTTGCTATGTCAATCTATGTGGATGGTATAATTCTCGCTAGTGGTGACATACGACAAATCCATCGACTCAAATCTTTCCTCCATGATTGTTTCGAATTAAGGATCTAGGACCTCTTAAATTTTTGCTTGGTCTCGAGGTTGCTAGATCTTCCGGAGGCCTCAACTTAAGTCAACGCAAGTATGCTCGTTGAACTCTTGCAGGACTCGGGTTTCCTTCATTCTAAACCCGTCTCTACCCCCATGGTTCCTACTCAAAGGCTTTCCAAAAATGACAGGTCCCATGCTCTCCGACAACACTACCTATCGAAGCCTTGTTGGAAAATTATTATACTTGACTACAACTCGGCTCGACATTGCCTTTCTCTGTGCAACAATTATCTCGATACCTTGATTGTCCTACGGAGAATCATTTGAGAGTCGTTCATAAGGTGCTTCGCTTTATCAAAGCCGCCCTCGGTCAAGGTCTCTTCTTCCCTTCCGAGTAGTGACCTTCAAATTCAAGGTTTTTCCAATTCGGATTGGGGCATTTGTTTAGACACTAGGAAATCCATTACCGGGTACTCGTGTGTTTCGGGTTCTTCGTTAATGTCCTGGAAATCCAAAAAGCAAGCTACCGTATCTCGATCCGGTTCGAAGCCGAATACGGAGCTCTTGCTCATGCCACTTATGAATTACGGTGGCTCCTTTACCTTCTGCGGGATCTTCAAATCTCCCACTCAACTCCCGTATTGTCGTTCCGTGACAATACCTCTGCTCTTCACATTGCCGCTAACCCGAGTGTTCCATGAACGCACCAAACACATCGAGCTTGATTGCCACATTGTTCGTGAAAAACTTCAAGTCGGCATAGTCAAGCTTCTTCCAAGTCCCTTCCATTCATCAGTCGGTCGATTGTTTCACCAAAGCCTTGCCCATTGCTTCTGTTTCGTGCCTCTGCTTTCAAGTTGGGCATTCACAATGTGTATGCTCCACCTTGAAGGGGGTTATCACGGATTTTTTTTATCACAAATATCAAATAGAAGCATTAGTTATATTCTGTTAGATTAAGTTTGTCAGTTACTTTGTTTAGCTGGAATATATGCTTTGCTGGCAATCCTTTAACTTAGCTGGCATCTTGTATAAATAGACTCTCTCTGTTCAATAAAAAACAAGAATAATTCATGCCATTTTCGTGTTAGAAGGAGAGAGAGGGAAGTTGGAACAGCCGTATACGCGAAAATGGATAGCAACTCTCAACGTGAGGAGTAAGAAAAGCCAAAGAGCAGTAAGCGTGTTTGAAAATTGCACAAAGTTGCTATGAAGCGGCAATCGGGTCTATTCAAAAGTCCGGCATGTAAAATACAACCTACGTGTTAGAAGTGGTGGGCGAAGGAGAGAGACGGAAGTTGGGACAGCCGTATACGCGAAAATGCATGTAAGCGTGTTTGAAAATTGCACAAAGTTGCTATGAAGCGGCAATCGGGTCTATCCAAAAGTCCGGCATGTAAAATACAACCTACGTGTTAGAAGTGGTGGGCGAAGGAGAGAGAGGGAAGTTGGAACAGCCGTATACGCGAAAATGGATAGCAACTCTCAACGTGAGGAGTAAGAAAAGCCAAAGAGCAGTAAGCGTGTTTGAAAATTGCACAAAGTTGCTATGAAGCGGCAATCGGGTCTATTCAAAAGTCCGGCATGTAAAATACAACCTACGTGTTAGAAGTGGTGGGCGAAGGAGAGAGAGGGAAGTTGGAACAGCCGTATACGCGAAAATGGATAGCAACTCTCAGAAGTGGTGGGCGAAGGAGAGAGAGGGAAGTTGGAACAGCCGTATACGCGAAAATGGATAGCAACTCTCAACGTGAGGAGTAAGAAAGTGGTATAATCGAGGCCGTCCAGAATTTAATTCGATCCATATCAATTGGCAGGTGAGAAATAACAGCGCTATGCGATGTCATGTCAAGTCATGTTCATGCATTTAACGCTGTTACGCAGTACGTACACTCACTATGCACATAAATGCTGTTATGAGGAGCATTCTTGCCGACAACACTACACATCTTTTCCAAATTTTCTATCATTCTTCCATGATTCAGGAGCAGGGATTGTGATTGAATCCATACGCCATCTATACTTAAACGAACCGACTCGAAAAAATATCTAAAAGTTTTGCCCTGGAAATAAAGGATAGAATATTAATATTGTCAAACTCCGTCTTCTAAATCCAATTTAAAATATTTATATTAGTATTATATACATAAAAAATTTATAGTTTTTTCATTAAATATAATATTTACATATCAAATTAAAAAATTATATATATATATCAAATATTTTATTATTATTATTATTATATATATATATATATATATTAAATAATAAATATCCGAAACTAAAATTTTAAATTTATTATCCTAATAGTAATGAATTAAGAATAAATATATTTAAAAACTCAATCTATAGATATCCATCTTATCCAATTATTACATCTAAAAATTTTCGGTTGGGTTCCTTCGACCCAATGCATGGCAAGTAGCCATGTTTTCATGTCATGTGTAGATAATTTTAAGGGGTTGGTGTGATGATTAAAGATATTTGTTTTGTTTCTTAATTGTTCTAATTGTAACTATTATAAGCAATTTCTAATGGAATTATGAAATTCCTCTTAATGTACTACACCAATATGGAGGTTGTTCTTTTAAGATTGTCTAGAAAAAGACTTGGTTTAGATTAACAAACAAACTAGTCCAAAAATATTTTTATTATAAAAAAAATCATGTGTAGATATTATCAATTACTTAGTAAAATATTATCAATTATTTAGTAAAAAAAAGGAAAAAAGAAGAAGAGAAAAGAGAAATAATATTTAATAACTTTAATTATTTGCCTGACAATTATATTTCTTAACATTCTTTTCATATATTAACCATTCATCCAATAGGAAAATAATTAACTATGAAAAATTTATTAGTAAACGATAACCACATTTTTTATTAAAAAAAAATCATGAATGCACAAATAGTTAATAGAAAAAATATATGATTGTTATTGTTGGCAATTAGGATGGCAATGGGTATTTATGGATCAAATTTCGAGAATCTATATTTCATTTGTTATTCTTAAAGTGAGAAATTTAGATATTTATATTCTATTTAACATGGTTTTCATTTAAGTAAAATAGTTATTAAATATTAATAAAGAAACTAAAAGATCTAGATTATTATTGTTCAATGAGTTGTGGTTTCTTTTTTATGGTATCATTGTAATTTTCAAGCTTTCTTTAAGCATTTAATAGACAAATTTTAACAAAAATTATATTTTGGTCTCTAAGTTTTTCAAAACATTTGTTTCGATTCTCCACTTCAATTACGTCGCATTTTTATTCCTAAATATAAAAAGGAGATAGAAAGTCGTAATGAGACTCATTCCAATCATGTTTGCGTTCATCTTGATGAGAATAGTTTGTTTATAATAGTCTTAAATATAGAATGGTTAAAAAAAGAAAATTGAAAGCCTAAAATATATATAAGTTTTGAATTTGATATGATTTTTTTTTTAAGTGCATTAAATGAGTTGCAAGTTTCAAATGAGTTTTTTGAGGTCTGTTTCAATGATTTTGAGGTGTTTTGGATAAAACAATAACTAAGAACTTAGATGTAGGAGGTTGAAAAATGATAGCTCTAATTTTTCGACCAATAATAGTTCATCGAAAATTAATCTTTTTCCTGATTTAATTTGAGTATTTTTTATTATTGAATTTTGTGATAAATTATGGGAAAAAAATAATTGTTTGCAATATTAGGAGATTTTATTTGTTATCAAATATAATTTACTTGTCTCTATTTCTCTATTTTAGAATGATATGTTTTTTAACATGATTATTTGCTCTTGTTTTAAAATGTGTACGATAGATTCTTATAATTTTTAAATGAGAGTAGTATGACTTTAAATATATGTTTAATCTAAGAGTTAGAGGTGTATTGCAAATAATTTATCCCAATTTTTTGAAAAAAAATATTTATTGCTCTGCATGGAGGAGTATGCACATGATCCAAGCATATATGGCCCGGAAGCAAAAAATATATTTAAAAAAAATGGATTCGAATGTTTTATTTGCTTCTTCTTTATATAATCTATATTTATTGAAATTGATTATGTTGTGGTTTTCATTTCAATCAATTGACTTCAACTTGATTCAATATATTCCCAACATGTTAAGTATTCTTGTGATACTTTTCATTTTAGGCTACAAACTATAAATTCATTTGGTATATTCAAATAATTAGATTAAACATAAAATTGAAATGAAATTGAACTTTTTTGTAGTGTAGATGAGATTAACTTACCTAGAGAAGCTCCAATTTTCCCTTTAAAAGTTGGATTATGTTGAAAAATTTTCTTTCCCTTTTCCACCCAATATTTTGGTTAAGCTTCTTTAAATTTCTCCTTGTGAATTTTGAGCTTCCAACTTAAAATTGAGGTCTAATTAACTGATTTGGGATGTCTAAAAATGATTGAAAGTGTTTTGGGTGGAAATTGAGTTGCAAATTTGGCAATAGTTTCCCTTATATTTTTCTAATTTCCTTCCATTTTTCATTTTTCTAGACTCATATTTATAGGAAAATTTGGTGAATTTTTGACTTTATCTCCACTCTTAATTTGGATAAATCTTGGCCCTTAATTCAACTTTTAATCCCTTCCTTTCATTTGGCTTAATTTCTAGCCTTTTATCCTTCGTTTAATCTTAATCTTCCATCTAGCTTAATTAGAGCCACCCATTTAACTGAAATTCAAGCTTAATTATTGCCTTAAGTCGGCAAAAGACGAGAGAAAATTACTCAATTTTAGTCATCTAGTTTCTAGAGTTTTCTATTGATTAGTCTTTCATAAATCCTTCTTTTATTTAATTGATCACTTTAGATCCTTCCTTTCAAGTTTTTCTAACACCTTTTTAACTATTAAAATTTATATCTAATTTAATTTGAAAGTTCAAACTTTTAATTTTATGCAATTGGATCCCAAGGTTTAAAATTTCATTCTATACCTTTCCAAAATTCAAATTCTTTTTATAATAAATTCAAAAACTTCTTAAAAGAATTTAATCATCATTCACATAATTTTTATACACTTATTTAGAACTTCAAATTAATTATTTAGTGTAAAAATATACTATTCCATATAGAAAATATTCCTTATACATAGAAAAATTCATCTAAGTTTATTAACTATTCCTCCACATCCTAAATGATTTTTCTATATTTATTGGATAATTTTCTTATATCTTTAAAGCATCTAAATTAATTAATTTACCTCAAAACCACTATTTATGCACAATAAAATTCAAACAAAATAATCACAAAATATCAGAAAATTCAACCAATGGCATCGAATAATCTAACACCCCTCTAACAAATATTCTATAAAAAAACAAAACATGTTTCATGCACATTTAATATGCTCAAATTAATTATTTCACATAAAAATCACTATTTATGCGTAGAAATATTCACTAAGCATGGAAAACTATTTTAGCTACTCCGAATACTCGACACCCTTCTAAGATTATTCCATGCTCACGAAATATTTTTCATATGTTCTTAATTTTTTAAAATTATTAAATATCAGTTTTAACGTGTAATGGGTATTACGACTTAAACGTTAATCTTGTTATATTCTGTGTATTTTGCTTCTATAAAACATTATATCAAAGAATATCAATAGTCGACAACTTTAGATACATGAATTTAATATAATACATTTCTTGTTTGAAGCTTTCATGTTCTATGTCCAAAATGTCTATATAAAAGGTTTTCAACTTTAAATAAAAACATTATGTTGCCATGAAGCATGAACAAGCTGACCAAATGTAAGTCAAGGTGCGTAGAGAATAAAGCATGAACAAGATAACAATTTCAATATTTAATAATGCTGAAACAAGCTGAAACCAAGGTGCGTAGAGAATAAAGCCTTTCGATGAACAGAATTTCAGCACATTACGGCACACTTTCGATAGAATATTACAATCTTGTCAAGCTGACCAAATGTAAGTCAACCAACTAACATTCAATTCAAAAACAGGCTTCAGATGAAAGCAGGTCCCAAAACAAACCATTGTCATCAACGAATCATGCCCTAGAAAAAAGACTTCCGTTATTCCCTTCTATAAAATATACATGTTCCTTTAATTCTGTAAATGCAGCCTCCAAGCATTTTCTACTTACCAAAAAGTTTGTAACCTAAACCTAATAGTAGCGATCTCTTTAAAAAAATAGCGATTTCAAATTCTAATAAATTTGTTCTCCTAAGAGCTTTGGATGTACATGTTAAAAAAAAAAAAAAAAACAATTTGTACTTTCACTGCCATTAAACTTCAATATTTCAAGAATCAGCACTTTATTGCAACATGTATAAGCAGAGCATTGCTTGTTTTGAACAAAAAATTATGAAAAAGGAACAGGACAGCATCTTTCACAGAATTCTACAAATTTTGGTAAACCAACTTACATTTTTGCCCTATTCTAGTTCTCGACATTATTGCCTAGTCAAGTTCTTGTGATCTGGATTGTCTCGGAGACCAAGTTTAGAAAGAACAAGGCAGTAAGAATCCCAGTCAGTCCTCCGGAGATACTTCAACAACTTCTTCCTCTTTTGCACCATTGCTAGAAGACCTTTCCGAGAATGTTTATCCTACAGTGTTGTGGGAAAGAAAATCAGAATAGTAGCAAATGATTTGCATAAAAACTTGAGTAGGATAAAACCACTCTTCTAACATAATAATCACCATGCATTATGGTCTCAAAGTTGCAGTTAATAGCATCATATCACCGAGTGAAGGCCATCTGGCAAATAACCATCCAATTGCACATCAAGAGAGATGGAAATTGGAAAGTGGCCAAGGCAACGTGAGGGTCCCAGCAAGGGCCACACAGAATCCAGTATTACTTTTAACGTTAATAACTTTCTTTCTAAACGCAGAATACTGATCAAATGTTAAAATGCTAATGGATTCTTTATGTTTTTGCATCTTAGACAAATGAGAGATTCAATTGAGTAAATTTATAAGTATCTTAAATTAGTGCATTCATCAAAGTTTTCGATACTCAATACAAAGCAAAAGAGAGTAGTCACAAATAAGAGAGGTGAAGAGAGGGAGATCACCAGCCCACTATGGAACTGGAAATGGCAAATAAATAACCCAATTTTCTTACTTATTGATGCAACACACACTGCCATGCGACTTTTTCCACATTGGTATACCTAGTCAATGCTAGAAAATGGAAATCCATGTTCATTCACTTTGTCCCTCTGATTGTTCTATGTAACAACTCCATGTCTCTTGCCCTCAACAAATCTGCTTGAATCTATTTTGCAGACCAAACGGTGAATCCTGTAAAGTATCTGAAACATCTGACTGCTAAACACTAATCAACAAACTCTAAATAATCTGCTTTACAATCCACTCTAAAGCCCAACCGGCTAACCCTTAAAGTATCTGATGCATCTGGCTGCTAAATTATAATCAACAAACTCTATGTGGTCCTTATTTACAAAAGACTGCCCTGTATGGCAATAATGTCACTCATACAAAATTGCATTGCAATCATTCCAAAAAAAAAAAAAAAGTTATACACCTATATCTTCTCTTGGTATACAAAAAACAATGTCCTATTTAAGCATCCAACTCCATCACAACAAACCAACCAAACTTACCATGACCTAAGACAATTTAACAGTACACACTCCAAATCCAAGAAAGTATCAAGCCCAGAAGTTGGAAGCTTCTTTACACACCATCAATTACCAAGATTCCAGCTTGTTTTGAGGTTATTGATCGTAAAATCCCATCCCAAGCAGCTCCCCAAGCCAAAAAGAGGCTTCAAATTGCTTGTGGGCAATTTTTTTTTTTTTTCATTTTATAAATTTAAGGCCATGTCAATATCACAATATTTTTCCAGCCATGTTCAGTGTGCAGAACAGGATTAAATTTTGAATCAGAACACTAAAAATAACATTCACAAGAAGACGAGTCTCAACTCAGATAATAGTCCCAGCAGGAGGACACAATTAATCCCTTTTTCTTTCCTTGCAGCAATCTACTTCAGTTAGCTTAATCATTTCACAACCAGAACCACATCCCAATGACACTTTCATGAAATTAGAAAAGTATACAGAGCCAAAAACAAAGAATATATAACAGCAACTTGCAACAAATAGCTTAATCACTGCACAACTAGAACCACATCCTCAATGACACTTTCATGAAATTAGCAAAGTATACAGATGCCAAAAACAAAGAATTGTTAACAGCATCTTACAAAAGATAACCATATAATTGCCCCTCAAACCACTTAAAATCATAAGAAAATCAAAATGGAAAGGCCTTTACCTTGAACACGAGCTGATCCATAGTCTGACTCTGACATTTTAAATTCCTCTCTAACTTTTGCAAGCTCAATTTTCATTTTCTCAGGAGAAGATATGTTATCAGGATGGAAATACTGCATAAACCATAAACGAAGACATCAGAACACTAAGACACTGAATGCCGGTAATGGTGAGCAAGATGAGAACTACTTCATGGAGAATAGAACAATATATATACCACCAAACCCCTCCAATTATTTTATCAGAAACCACACATTTTCAAAGGATTGCAAACCACAATAAACCAGACAGAAACTTTAAATACAAAAATCCAAGCCATTTAAGTATATTTTTTTTATTTTTTTTTGTGTTTCATCAGCCATAACAGCCATGTAATGGTCAGAGCAGGATTTCAACTTCTTCTGACATCAAACCATATTTATGTTACAAGGTTCACTGATTCACATATGCAATGACTGTAATTGGTCATTAAGAGCAAATGGTATTTCTAAGTGTTGAAGCAGTTATGCTTTGAATAGTCTACTTGTACAGACAAACCCCTATCTTATATCTTTAGCTCTTAATTCAGCTTCAAACCAAAAGCGTAAACCACAATCCTCTGCTTTTACCTTTTTACTTCGGGAAGTGAAGATGCAACTCTTGATGTGCTTATATATATTAAACCTAAACAACTTTATTTTTGCAATATATTGTTAGAATGCGTTAAGATAATGCAGCACTAAAAATACTATTTTACACTTTTATTTCTCACATTGCTAAGAGTTATGTAACATTACAAAACTTTATTTTGTAATATATTGTTACAATGCGTTAAGATAATGCAGCACTAAAAATACTATTTTACGCTTTTATTTCTCACATTGCTAAGAGTTATGTAACATTACAAAACTTTATCCATCAAAATATTTCTCTTCCTTAAGAAATTATTGAAAATCTATACATTAGAGGCAATTTGAGGTCTTGACTATTATACAACAGGTGCATCCAAAATTCCATATTTTCTTCTATGTCGTCGGACAAATTTTGCCAACTCAACTTATAAATTGGGAAACACAGGGAAAAAAAAAAGAGGCGTTCTGGAATGTGATGCAGAATATGATCCTATATAAAGACCCAGGCCAATTGTCCATAACTCTTTAAAGATTTATTCTTCTACATGTATGGAAAAAATAAATCTAGAAGGGTAAGCACAATATAATGAAATTCGTTTGCATCATTGTTAATGCCCAATGAACCTTTAAGGCAGTAGAAGTCAAAAACTAAAGTTGGTATTTATATTAGTTGGAAATAAATTCTAACTATACATTTAGTCTATATATCATTAATTAGGTTAGTTGAGAGTTGAGAGTTGAGAGAAAAATAGAAAGAAGACATCTTCTTAGGAAGAAAGAAAAGAAATCTAGAATTAATATTTTCTAGAATATGGATTTGGGTTTATGCTAATTTTGTACTTTTGGTTAATTTGAGTTTGAGCTTATCTTAATTTGGACAAAATTAGTAACGATTCTTAATACATATGACATTACAGACAGATCAAACCGTTGAAGAATCTTCAAAGAATATTTTGGTTTCAGATAGGATTTACTGGGAGTAGTTGCTACTATAGTTGTCGTTTGGACAAATCCTTTTCGCTTTTACTTTTTCGGTTTTTGTTAAGGTGTTGAATTTTCAGGGCCGATCAAAATTTGTTCCATTCATTTCTTGCCAACACATTTATATACGGTATTGAATTTGCATAAAGAAATGTTCTATTAATCGTAAGCATGAATACACAATTACATGCCAACTCATGGCTTTTGAATCTCCCTATAAAGATAAGAATATGACATCTGTCACGATAAGTACCACTTATCCATACTCATCCTAATCTTGTATCTAATAGTTAGCTAATACTTGTGTTATACTTAGCTAAAACTCTCATTAATAGTTATCTTCCGTTAAGGTTACTAGCATAAATATAGCCACTGTAAGCTACAGGAAAACATATACATAACAAGCCTTTGTAACCAAAAGCTCACGTGAACAGTAGCATGCATTTCTTTATATTTAACATTGTATCAGAGCTATAAATTCTCCTCTCTCTTTCACATATTTTTTTTCCCTTTCTTTTTCAAACACGCAGCTCCAGTAACTCTTCTTCTCCTTATTATCAGTTATGACTACCGATCCAGCAGCCACAAATCAGATGGTCTCTGCCCTTCCTATTTCTTCTCCCTCGTCCACTGCCCATCATTCCTTTTCTGTTAAGCTCACCACCAGTAACTATCTAGCCTGGAAAGCTCAGTTTCTTCCTCTCTTGAACTACTAAAATCTCACAGGCTTCATTGATGGTACACAGCCAGCTCCTCCTCCAACACTCACATCCTCCACTAATCCATAGATCACCACTCCTAACCCAGCATATCTGACTTGGTTTCAAAAAGACCAGATGCTATTGTCCTAGATTCTCTCATCTTTAACCGAGACCATGTTCTCTTATGTCATCGGTCTCCATACTGCTTTTGAGACATGGCAAGCTCTAGCTCTTGCTTTTGGTTTAGTTTCTTAGAACCATCAGCTTCAACTCAATATTGAGTTACAGGAACTCAAGAAGAACAATCTCTCTGTCACAGAGTATTTACATAAGGCAAAATCCTTGGCTGATGAACTTGCCACTGCTGGACGAACTATGACTACTGCTGAATTTAATGCAATTATATATTGCAATATTGGTCCTGAATATCATAGTATTATTACTGCCCTTAACCTACGGCCAGATCCTGTTCCTTTCCATGAACTTCGTGGCCAGCTTGCTGTCCATGAATCCCTCTTGCAAAGCTCCTATGCACCATCGATGGCACACCTTGCAATCCGTAACCAACCATTACTACCCACACCCTCCTACTCTCCAAGACCACCAAAATTGCTAGTTCATGGCTTTCGTAGGCCACGCAGCCCTTGTCAGATTTGTAGCCTCCGCAATCACACTGCAGATAAATGTCATCGTCGTTACACACAACGCCCAACCTCATCTCCTCAGGCTCATATGGCTTATGTTCCTCAGACAATGATGACTTCTCCTTTCCTCGCTCCAGGTGGTTACAATGCCACACATTCTGCATATGGCCTAACATCTTCATCTGCTACACCTATTGTGTATTCCCAACCATGGCACCTTGACACAAGAGCTTCTCATCACATCACTCCAGATCTATCCACACTTAGCATAGCAAATGAATACAGAGGCGGTGACCAGCTGAGTGTTGCTAATGGCCAAGGTTTGGTAATCTCCCACTTAGGTGTATCTCATCTCCACACACCATCTAAAAACTTCCTGTGAAATAATGTTTTACATGTTCCTCAAATTTCAAAACCACTCCTTTCCATCCATAAATTCACTTCTGATAATAACTGTTTTCTTGAATTTTAGCCCCATTATTTTCTTATCAAGGATCAAGTATCCAAAGCAATCCTCTTTCGCGGCCCGAGTAAGCATGGTCTTTACCCTATGCATGGTGCGAGTGTGGAGCCAAAATTTGCTTGTCATTGTGAAGTTCTTCCTTTGGAACAGTGGCATGCACGTCTAGGCCACCCTCATCATCGCACTATTCATAAAATAGTCATTGAAAATAAATTGTCTTCTGCTTCTTCATCCTCTCTTCTTTGTTCATCTTGTCGTCTAGGAAAAATGGCACGTATGCCTCTTGCTTCAGTTGAACACAAAAGTACTAGGCCATTTGAAATCATCTACTCTGATGTCTGGGGTCCTGCCCATTTCTGTCCACCTTAGGTCATAGGTATTGCCTTCTATTTGTTGATGAATACACCCGTTACACTTGGGTGTATCTTCTGAAAAATAAAAGTGATGTCTTTTTATCTTTTAAATATTTTAATGCATATGTTTGATGACAATTTAACTCCACCATTTTAGCCTTTCACTCTGATTGGGGTGGTGAGTATCAAAAATTGAATAAACATTTCAAAGACATTGGCATAATTCATCTTGTTGCATGCCCATATACTCATGAGCAAAATGGTATTTCTGAACGTAAAATCAGACACCTTGTTGACACCAGTCTTACACTATTAGCGCATGCCTCCATTCCTTTACATTACTGAAATTATGCTTTTGATACTGCTATATCCCTCATAAATTCCCTTCCTAGTGCAGTTCTAAACAATGACTCCCCCTACTTTAGGCTATTTAATAAACCTCAAGATTTTACAAAACTTAAAACTTTCGGTTGTGCCATATACCCTCTCTTAAGACCGTATAATAATCATAAATTTTCTTTTCGGATGATTGAATGTGTTAATATGGGACTCTCTCCCTCTCACTATGGATTTTAATGTCTTGACATCAAAACAGGTCATGTGTATATTGCTAGACATGTCAAGACTAATGAAAATCTCTTCCCTTTTTCACAATGTGCATGAACTGCCAACACCTCAATTGCACCATGACAACCAAGCATGGCTCACAGTCTCCACTACTGCACATGCTCCTTACGGCCATACTGTCCCAGGTACCAACCTTTCTCCATTTTCATATAACTCAACTACTGCTATAACTCTGAATTCCACTTCATCTCCAACTCCTTCTCTATCTCCAACACCTCATCCCCACAACAGTCATTCTTCTAATACACTCCCACAGACAGATTTCTCTCCTCCAGTAATTACCAACTCACCAAACTTAATCCTATCTACCCCTCACTCCCCTAGTCTCCAACTTGTAGTGGACCTCACTTTATATCCAACCACTCAGGGTCCATCCCAACCTGTTCAATGACCCAATATCCGCACCCACTCCATGACACATCTCTCCCACTAAGATCATACTGTAACTCGCACCACCAAATCATGTGACTACCTACATACTAAACCTACCTCATATTCCCAAGCCCAGACTTGTGTGGAATGGAGAAAAGCCATGAGTGATGAACTTATTGCCTTCCTCAATAACAACACCTGGTCTTTGGTTCCACTTCCCCTCAATAAAAACATAGTGGGGAATAAATGGGTTTTTCGTATTAAACAACACCCTAATGGTGAGATTTCCCGTTACAAGGCAAGGCTTGTTGCCAAAGGATATAATCAGCAGTCTGGTGTTGATTACACTGAGACATTCAGCCCTGTTTAAAGGCAACCACCATCAGGACTATCATTTCTCTTGCTACTACAAATGATTAGTCCTTACGACAGTTGGACATCTCTAATACGTTTCTCCATGGTATCCTTGATGAGGAAGTCTTCATGGATCAGCCACAGGGACATATTGACAAGGATCATCCTGACTATGTGTGTCAACTAAATAAGTCCCTTTATGACTTAAAACAAGCTCCACGAGCCTGGTTTAGTCGCCTTAGTTCCTTTCTCTTAAGCAATGGCTTTCATGCATCACAGGCTAATACATCTCTATTCACCTTCATTGAAGGGACTAACAGTGTCTTTATCCTTGTTTATGTTGATGATTTGATTGTCACAGGTTCAAGCTCCACTCTGGTTTAAGAGTTCATTAACAAACTCCAGCTTGAGTTTCCTATTAAAGACCTAGGACGCCTTCACTACTTCTTGGTAGTTGAGGTGCTCCCCTTGTCCAATGGCATACTTCTATCACAGCAGAAGTACATTGCAGACCTGTTCTGCAGATTTGGAATGGATGCTTCAAAAGGATGTCTGACGCCTATGGCTACAACTCCACCTCTATCTAAACTTTAGGGTACTGCACTGTCAAATGGGGAAGCATATAGGCAGCTTGTTGGTGGACTCCAATACCTGACGATGACCAAACCAGATCTCTCCTACGCTATCAACAAACTTTTCCAGTTCATGCATTCTCCCACTGATGCTCATTGGACAGCCTTAAAACTTGTTCTTCGTTACTTACAAGCTACTCCAACGTATGGTCTTTTCATTGCAAAAGATTCACCTATGCATTTACACTACTATTCAGACAGTGATTAGGCTGGTTGCCCCGATGATCGTCGATCTACAAATGGATATGCAATCTATCTTAGGAAGAATCTCATATCGTGGACAGCTAAGAAACAGCCTACCATAGCAAGGTCTTCCACTGAAAGTGAGTATAAAGCACTAGCCAACACTGTTGCAGAGATAGTTTGGATTCGTTCCCTCTTAGCTGAACTTGGCATCCTATCTTCCCAACCAGTAAAATTATGGTGTGACACTATTGGAGCCATATATCTTTCAGCCAATCCAGTTTTCCATGCCCGTACCAAGCACATTGAGCTAGACTACCATTTTGTGTGTGAACTAGTTGCCTCAGAAGTCATCCAAATTGGTTTTATTTCCAATGATGATCAAATAGCCGACATCATGACCAAGCCGCTTGCTATTCGTCGATTTCAGTTTCTCAGGGACAAGCTACGCCTATTGTCTCCCACGCAACGACTTGAGGGGGGTGTTAGGATAAGTACCACTTATCCATACTCATCCTAATCTTGTATCTAATAGTTAGCTAATACTTGTGTTATACTTAGCTAAAACTCTTGTTAATAGTTATCTTCTGTTAAGGTTATTAGTATAAATATAGCCACTGTAAGCTACTGGAAAACATATACATAACAAGCCTTTGTAACCAAAAGCTCACGTGAACAGTAGCATGTGTTTCTTTATATTTAACAACATCAACAAGAGGGTGTAAAAAACATGATGCTAGGTTTTATCTTCTGCAAAATACCTCAGTTGCGATTTAAAGAAGTTCATGGGGTGTGGGTATGGAAGCATTTGTACAGAATGATAGTTTAAGATATTAAGCATTTTTCATGTTCGGTGTGTCAAGAAATAGCAAATTTCCGGAATATCACATTTCAAGCAATAGTGTGTTTGATTTGTTACAAAATGATGAATCATTTTCATTGCATAAGATTAGAGTACATAGTCTCTTAAATTATACAATGATTCATCATTTTGATCCTCTACAATTATTTTATAAATTTTGCTCTAAACATAATATAAATTATGTATGATCTTCCTTGTTTGATTTTATTTTTATGAATGGGATGCATATACAACGTATCTACTTATATTGCAGTTCCTTTTTCCAAGTGGCAAACTTTTCACTAGCTTGGTTCAAATATTTTTGGTGGGCGACGCAACATGCCGGCGATACTCTGCCAGAGCCCAAATGGGGAAGATATTCCTATACGCAGAATAATGTAACATGCAATTCCTCATAAAAACTCCAATCAACTCCTGTCATAATGCGGCATGCAGCCTTTAAGGCTCATTTTAAATTTGTTTTATGTTTGATTCTTTAAGGCTCTTCTAATGCGGCATGCAGCCTTTTTTTTCCTTATGAATTCCCCTTTATGTGCAAAGTAGTAAGTTACCTGCTGTGGAAAATCACCAAGTTCTGTTTGAGAATTAATCAACAACTTTGCAGCACGATGAAGAGGTGTAGGGTCCTTGTCCGCCTATTAGAAAAGGAACTTAAACTTTCGAATTTTGGTGGAAAAGATGCAGAAGTGCATTAAAAGAGATGGACTATAAATCTTTATCTTATGAATCAAACTGACCTGACCACCATGAATTAAACCCATCATAGCCATTGCAGTTTGTACCAGATTTGAGTGGTTACCCTCAAAAGGTACGTATTCCTGCGTCAACATGCACCAAGATATTTTCTATCTTAGTTTTGGAAAGGGGAACAGAGAGATCGAACTGCTCACATCAATGTATGTCTTTAATTGATTATTGACAGAGCAGAAGCTAGAACTACAGCCTCTTCTTTAGACGAATAGTCTGACAATAACCTTTTGGGGAAAAAGGGATTACCTTCTTTGGGCAAGAAAGGTAACTCTCACCCCATCCACCATCATCTCTCTGTGATCTAAGAAGAAAATCAACTCCTTTACGAACAGCTAGGCAATTGGAGTAAGTCTTTCCAGCAGCTACTAGCCCTGCTAGTGCAAACCATGTACCATAGATAAAGCATATTCCCCAATTTCCATACCTGTAGTAATGCTTGTTATATGTAGTCGATTTCTCTGACAATTTTCTGCAAACTGTACATCAACCTTTAAAAATATGTAGCAATTCTTTTAATGGATAATACCATGAACCATCAGGCTTTTGTTTGTCTTCAATGAACTTGACAGCATTTATGATGGAATTTTGGATCTCTTTAGTCCTGTGGCCAGGGTATAACTTCTTACATAGGATTAATGCTTGAATTGTTGATGATGTGCATTCAACATACCTGGACCACTGTTCTGTTAGTCTTCTATGAATTTTTCTACATACCTAATAGAAGTGCTCAAGAATCTTATTTAACTATTAAATGTAAATGGTTCAAGAATCTTACTCATGCTCAACTACAAGATCCTCTAGGAACTCCACAGGATTGAGTGACTAATTGAACAGCGGATGTCACAGTTGAGATAACAGATTCTAAGTCAAGTCTAGTAGGAAACACACAGATTTAAGTTAAACATTTCGAGTTTAGTTCAATGGCTTGAAGAGCTTACCTCCAACCATAATCCAGCTCCTGCTGGCTCCCAAGCAGATACCCCACCATTTTTACTCTGCATAAAAATAAAAATAAAATTAAGATTAAGCTGATTGTAACTTCATGAAGGCCAAGTAAGGAGCAAATCTAAGGAAATAACAAGAGATGTTAATAAGTTTTAAGTAAACAAAAGTCACTATTTTAATGCAACTAATCTTCACCTGAAGAGAAAGTAAAATATTGACAGAATCATAAAGCTTCTGAGGTTCAATTTTTTCACCAACAATTTCCGGAGGCATAGTTGAAAGAAGTAGGCAACACTGCAGAGCATACGAATTATATCATAATGATAAATGTTTAAGGAAAAAGCTCGACTTGTTATACTATTCCTTACAGTAGAACAGATATTATAATTACCTTCATGCTTTCTGCAGTGCAATCTGAAACTTGCCAGCCATGATCTTTGTCAGAGAAAGTCCATGATCCTTTAGAGATATGGCGAAACATCCTTCTGAAGTCACCGGGAGGATTCTCAACGACCTTCAAGATTTGAAGTGAGATGAGAAAGCACAAGGCCAAAACATAACTAAATACAAGGAACTCGTGTGGCATGCATTATATTCTTGGCTATGAAAGGAAGAAACAATTTCAGGTTATGAAATTTGGAAACCTGAGAGTTCTTTATGAAGTTGTGTCCTTCCATAAGTGTAGGTCCTATTTCGTCTGAGAGGTTGCTAGCAATCAAAGCTTGGAGAGCAAGACTGGTATCCCACACTTGACTACCAAAACTCTACAAATGAATATCAAATAGAAAATAATCATACTCTGCGTCTCTTGCTTCTGGTATGCAAATGTAAAGTCTACTAGGCATAAACTCAAGTTTAAATCAAGTTCCATGTTTTTGTCGAAAACATTAAATCAGTGAATGGACAAACAACATGAACCATTTAGGAAACGTTATTATGGTAGAAGCTGTTTACCAACCTGCATCTTTATTCCATCTTCTCCAAGCCACACGTAATCTGTGATCCTAGCAAGGTGCCTCCTAAAATAATCCCCATTGGGATCTTCAACCCAACAAGCCAGCATATCTAATGGCTGTTCCAGTTCAGTTGCACAAGTGTCCAAAAATTAAAGAACAAATTTCACTATGCTGATTTTGGTTTTGGCTATTGTTCTGTAAGTGTGTTACCTTTTCGATACATCCAATGGTAATATATCTACTGCTCTCATCTTCATAATGGATGTGATCCATTGTAATGTTGAGAGACTTCTCTCTCAATTTGTTGAAGGGCCACCGAGTAAGAAAAGGCTCGCCAAAAGTATAAATAGCATCCCAAAACAATATCTGTATCCCAAAGTACGAGGATAGTAGTTATCCTCCTGAAGAAAAAAAAATTGAAGAAAATGAAAAGTTTTCAGATCAACTTTTAAAGATCAGCTAGTAAAGTCAACTGACCTTTGCACATAAATGGCGGACGCTCCTCCAATAGATTTTCTCATAAGGTTCATTGTATATTTCTTCTCTAATTTGTAAGATGAGAGGTGTGATTGGACCAACAAACCTCTTCCCATACAAGTATGACATAGGCATGTAAGTGAGCCGGCAGTAGTTGAGCAATTTCCCTGCATTTATGAAAATGCGTAAGGAATGGCAGAGCTAAAAGCAGGCTTTAAACAAGTATATATGCAACTAAATTCAAGTTAAGGACATAATTCTAGAAACTATGAAGCAACTCTCCAGGAAATTTCTTGATGATAAATTGAACATCAAATCCAGTATCTGCAGTAGCCATCAATCATATGCTAAAATTATTGATTTAATTTCATGACGCTTATCGGTTTCATGTTTCAACAACTTCAAATTTTCAAATAAAAAAAAAAAATGCAAACCTGGATGAATGGGAAAAGTCGATGGAAAGAACCAAAATTCTGGTGGCATTGGATTGCATCCAGCCCACTCATACACACCAAGTATCTACAACACAGGAAAATCAAACAGTTGAAATCACTCTACTAACTAGGCAACTAATAACTAGCTTAAAATCTGAGATTTAATTGAATTATATGTTGTACCGCAAGCCAAATCTTTCCCCAAGAGCTGATGACAGTTGCACTACCATGATCAAGAATCCACTTCCGTGCTCTTTCACATGCTTTGTCTTTGCCACCATCAAGCCCTTCACCAAGCATGCGCATACAGATGTAGTTCAGAACTGTACAAAACATGGTGCTGTGACCTTCTATGTGTAATCCCCACCCACCATCTTCATTCTACGAGATAAGATGGAGCACATTAATTAATTAGCAATCTGATACAGATAAAGCTATAAAGACAAGACGAAAAAGAAAAATGATCAAAATTAATTTGGTGAAGCTATTTCTTTTATCATCCATCCCTGTAGTCAACAAATATATTTTACCTGATGACAGTATATGTAACGTAGGATTTCTTTGATATGCTCTGCAGAGAAGATAGCATTGAGATGTCCTGTAATATGGAGAGAAAAAACCTGCATTGAGGGAACCAAAAAAAAAAAAGTTGCCGTTAGAAAATGAAAGCACAAACATCTGAATTATAGTTTGCAAATGTGTGACAACTGAGTATATATAATGTCTGAAATGGATAGAAAACAGGCTTCCAAATTCATTCTTATGCTACTCTCCAAGGCAGAGGTAAAGAACAACATGGTTTGCAAATGTGTGACATCTGAATTCTATGCCATCAAGCATTTGAACCTGCCAAAAGGATCTCAAGAGTAGGATTAACGCTTGAAAGCAATTCTTTAATTCAAGAACTCCCCTCATGTATAATAAAATTTGACAAACTATTCAAAAGTTTGAAAATTTGACAAAAAACCCCATCCACGTTTAAGAAACTATTATAAAAATTCCCTCTTACCTAATTAAATACTCCTGATATTTTTAAGATCATCCCAAGTACCAATAAAAGTATTTTTAAATCATTAAAGACATTTTGGATATAAAATTAAAAACAACGTTTGAATTATCAATTAAAGTCAAAAGTTATTTCTTACAAGTAATGTACTTAATTTTTGATAATTTGTTTCATGCATTTTACATTAATTTTTTTGTTCAGATTGAGAGTACTAACCAGGGGAGGGAAATAGAACATAGGACCAGAATTTTCAGCACACCAATGGCCATCGCTAGCCTGCAAGGCTGAAAACAAATGAACGCTCCTCCTCAAAGCACTTGTTGCTTTTTCATATGAAATTTCTTCTCCATCCTCAACCTTGACTTGAGGAATTGTTTGCTTGAACTTTTTCTCTCTTAAAAACTGCATTATATTAAATATATAAAAGGACGTGACCAAAACAATTAAATAATAATAGACTAAAAATTCTCATCAGAATATTTGATAAGTCAGTCTCTATTTCTGGAAATAGCCAAATAGAAACATATAATACTATATAAGAAAATAAATAGGGCTTGAAGGGCTGTGAATATACCTGGAACTGCCAAAGGAGATCAGAGCTGGGCTTGACCTTATTTCGGTTTTTCCAGAAATTTTGTCGAGCCTCTTCAACCTCAGCTCGTTCTTCAAGGGTGCCAGCATCAGGATCAAACTGCCATATTTGCCTCCCTAAGAAGTTGTTTGTGCTGTATATGTGTGGATCACTGCCACCGTCTGCAATCTTAAGCACTCCACATGATACTGCTTCAGTCACTTCCTTTTGTTTCTCAGGTATCAAAATATAACTTTTCTTCTACTTCTGTAATGGCTAGCAATAGAAATTGTGAATGATGAGGTCCTGATCTTCGAAGTGAGACTGATAGTTGGATGGTTTCTAATATATACTGATCATATGATTGATATAATTTATCCTAGGTTGAATCAATGACTAGTAACGATATGTCAAGGAATGTACTATCTCAATTTAAAAGTTTAAGTTGTTAGGTGAAATACTTTGAATGATTTTATAAAAACTTACACAAGTCTATAATTATTTTGTATTTAATTATTTGATTAGAAGAGAAAGTGAGAATGATGAAATTCAAACTCATGATCATTTGATTATCAAATATCTAATTATATCATGTTAAAAAACCATCTCAATCTCAAAAATATGAACTAAGAGTAATTTTATACTGCTATCTAGTACTACAAAACAAATCTTCTTCTAGCATTTGCAAGACTTTTTGATAGCTAAATCAGTTTTAAAAATTTTTACTCTTATACCAAGAAAACATACAATATAATATCTATTTTGAATTTAGAAAGCAGAACTTATAAAGCTTGGCGTGATGACCTTTATATTAGTGGAATGTGATCAAACTCATGAATTAGAGGGTAGATTGGTCTTTTTCTTTAATAACTCTTAATATCTATTTAAAAATTTAAAATTTTTTTAATCTAAGGTCAATATTTAATGACACATATGTAATCATATTTAGTGATCACATGATTGAAACATCTAAAAAAGAATTACATTTTCATTAAACATATGTTTTTTTTTATCTAATAAGTGGAAGCAAAGGTATATATATTTTTTGTAGGGTCATTTGTCTATATTGGTCATCTGTGGTTTATCTAATTGTGAGGTTCTTTATGGTGGTTAGGGTTGTTTTGTTCATAGTGAATCTTCATCCATATAATCTTTAAGTAAAGCAAAAAAATACCAGTTTATGTAATTATGATGTTTTTTATGGCTGGTTGAAGTTGTCACGTTCATGGTGAATCTTCATTCGTATAGTCTTTAAGTAGAGCAAAAAACTAAGTGTCATGATCGTTAAATAGAACAGAAAAAAATATGTGTCATGATTATTATCATTGAATAGAAGAGTTTGCAAAAGCTTTTCGATGAGGTGAAGATATTTGATAAAGAGGCTTGAGAAATAAATAATGTACGTACCAAGCATTTATTATACCTTTTCGATTAGATGGAGCTAAATTAGTGCGGGTTTCATAAAAGAAAAAAGAAATATAAGGATCGCAATAATCTAATCATACTTGGCATAAGTTAAGGAGTTAACGATCATTCATCCTAGTTTGGAAACTGTATCAATCTGCAACCAATATTTATTAACTTTAAACTTGGAATCTCATGTTCATGCTTTACCCTTTTAGTCATTTGTAGGCCTTGTATCATTTTTAGGAAGGGGAAACATACCGTTCTAGTGAAAATAATAAATAAATAAAAATATAGCTTAATTAGGTGTAAAGATAGAGAAGGAAAAATATGCTTTACCCTTTTTAGTCTTTTAACCGAGGCCGCCCAGAATTTAATTCGATCTGTATCAATGGGCAGGTGAGAAATAATTGCACTATGTCATGTCAAGTCAAGTCATGTTTATGCATTTAACGTTGTTGGTCAGTATGTCGACTCCCCATGCACATCTTTTCCGAATTTTCTATCATTCATTTATGATTCAGGAGCAGGGATTGTAATTGAAACCCAACCCCATCTACACTTAAACGAGCCGACCCTTAAAGATATCTAAAAGTTTTGCCCGTTAAATTTATAGTTTTTTCATTAAATACAATATTTACATATCAAATTAAAAAAATATATATATATATATATATATATATATATATATATATATATATCTGAAATCTGATAATTGATAATTGAATATATATCTAAATTTTAAATTTATTATCCGAATAATAATGAATAAAGAATAAATATATTTAATAAAAACTCAATCTATAGGGGTATCCATCTTATCCAATTATTACATCTAAAAATTTTCTGTTGGGTTCCTTCAACCTCATGCATGGCGAGTAGCCATGTTTTCATGTCATGTGCAGAGGTATTTGTTTTGTTCTTAATTTTCTAAGTGTAAATACTGTTACCAATACCTGATGGAATTATGAAATTCCTCTTAATATACTACGCCAATGTGGATGTTGTTCTTTTAAAATCATCTAGAAAAAGACCTAGCTTCGATTGACAAGCCAATTAATCCGAAAATACTTTTATTGTAAAAAAAAAAAAATCATATGCAGATATTATCAATTATTTAGTCAAAAAAAAAAAAAAAGGGAAAAACAAGAAGAGAAAAGAGACATAATATTTAATAACTTTAATTATGTGCTTCACAATTATATTTAACATTCTTTTATATATTAATCATTCATCCAATAGTTAAATAATTAAATCTGAAAAATTTGTTAGTAAATGATAAACACATTTGTTATAATAATAAAAAAATCATGAATGCATAATTAGTTAATAGATAAAATATATTACTTGTTATAAAAGAAATAGAAATAATAGGTGAATTGAAGGAAATGATGACAAGAAAATAAAATCACTATAATGTGGATACAAGTGATAAGAACTTCAAAGTTTCTCTTATTCTCTCTAGAAAACTTGTACAACAACTAATGAACAATCAAGCTTATTTATAGGCTTCAAATTTGAGAAGAGAATTGGAATGGACTATGAATAATTAATTGCATCACCCTTTCAATTTCTCATATTGAATGATAATTGAATCATATTAAGAATCATGAGTAGTGAGGATATGAAAAGTAGATGAACATGATAATGGACATTCATTATTTCATAACACTTTCCCTTGAATGTCCATTGTATAAGGAACATGCCTTGTTAAAACCTTACTAGAAAAAAACCCAATGGAAAAAAATCCTAGTGAAGGAAAAAGAATACAATGTTCCTTGTACACATTAATCTCAATGTTGGCCTCCCCATGTTGAAAACATCATTTGAGATATCTAAGACGATGTATTTCAATCTTGTGAATCATCTTCTCAAAAGTTGTGGTAGGTAATGCTTTAGTGAATAAATCTGCCGGATTGTCACTTTGATGTATTCTTCCTTCAATGGAATTATGCAAGCGAGCATTATCCTCATATGATTTTGTTAGAACTTCTTTTACCGATAAATAAACTGCATGTCTCTTGGATATGATGGATCGTTGATCTTAGCCAAACACATTCTCGACTTGCCTCGTGAATTGATATTTTTGCGTAATTTGAAGATGTGAAAGCTATAGTTTACTTCATAGAATACCAAGATATAGCTGTATCTCCATATGTAAATATATAAACTAGTTGTGATCGAGCTTTGTATGGATTTGATAAATAACTCTGCATTTGCATAATCAATCAATCTTGTCTTTGATTTATTGGAGTAATATGAGCCCATATCAATTATTTCTCGAAAATAACGTAATATATATTTAACTTTATTTCAATGTCTCCATATTGAAGCAAATCTATGACTTGCTAATAAATTTATAAAAAAGACTATATCATATCGAGTATTATTAGTAAGATATATCAATGCACTAGTGGCACCTGAGATACGGTACTTCGGGACTAAGTAGTTCTTCGTTATTTTCTCGAGGTCAAAAAAGGATCTTTTTGGATATCAAGTGAATGAACTACCATTGAGTTAGTCAATGAATGATCTTTATATAGAATCATTGTAGAACTTTTTCTATACAAATTGATCGATGAACAAAAATCTCATTCTCTAAGTACACCGAACTGCGAGTCGAGATAACATTTTTTAGATAACTTTTGACACTTGGAATCTCTTTAGGATTTCCAATAATATTTAAGTCATCAACAACAAACCCCTTTTTTAAATAAAAATATATGAACAAACAAAGTTATTTTTTTAACTTTTTTTTTAATAAATAATCATTGAAGTGATTATATCACATGCACACGACTTAATAATAAACGAGTAGATAAAAAAATAAAATATAAAAAAATATAATATAAATTAAATTTCTGAAAACTAAAATAATAAAAAAAATACTAATAATCCTAATAGAGATCTCTATAATTTAATTGAATTATTTTCTCAAGAATATGTATTACATGCTTCTAGCATGTTAAGTCCTTCTAGGACTTTCATACTAATATCATTTCAAATGAACAAATAAATTGTGATCACATTCATTAAATCCATACATATGAATTTTTTTCATACATTTTTCCAAGCTAATGAGATAATAAAAGACAATTGCATCCATTAGAGGAGAATATGTCTCCTCATAGTCAATGCCAATTCTTTACGAAAACTTTTATGTTAAAAGTTTTATATCTTACAATCTCATCTTTCTTATTTCATTTGTGCATAAATACATATTTGTATCACACTAGCTTAACATCTTCGAGTGTTTTAGATATGCGTTCAAAAAACTACTCTTTTATAAGAGAATATAATTCTATCTGGATTTCTTTTTTCATTTAGACCAATCATCTTTATGTCAATATTCTTCAATAATTTAGGCTTTGAATCCTTATTTTCATTCAAAATATCAATTGCAACATAATATGCAAAAATCTTATCAATAGATGTTTCTTTTCGATCTTATTTTCTCCTTATATTGACATAATTTATCAAAATCTCTTGATTTTTCTCAAGCATTTGGACTTCTTCTTGAAGCCTATTATCATATTTATCTTGAGCCATTTTGTAAATATTTGCATCTTTCATATTTTCATCTTGTCCTTTTCTTTTGAAGATTTTTATCTTTAGAATTGATTGGTCTTCCATGCTTCAAGCGTGCTTTAGATTCATTGGCTATAACATTAATAGATTATAACCTAGGGCATCAATTCTAATAGGAGCATTCTCAGCAGAGACATGCATTATAGTTCCTCATTTAGGATCCGAGAATACATCTAGCGGTTGGTTTGTAATACCTTGTAAATGAATTATCTTTTGAACTTCGGTTCACATTATTTTATATGAGATTCAATATGATATAAAGATAAAGCACTCCATGTAGTCTTTTTTTTTTTTAACATTTCCAACTATTTATTTTGCTTATTTTCTCCCCTAATGTTGGAAAAACTGTTTCATCAAAATGACGAGTCGATAAATTGAGTCTGTAAAAATACCTCTTGTTTATAAATCAAGAGATCAAAGAGGATTCAAATCCAACATATATTCCCAATCTCCTTTAAGTGCCCATTTTATTTCGTTATAAAGGAGCACTACGGATATGTACTTGTAATACCAAAAATTCATAAATAATAAATATTTGACTCATGACCATAAATCAATTAAAGAGGAGAGAATTTCGATAACTTATTAGTCCGATGCAAATAAGTGTTGCTACGTGTAAGATTGCATGTCAACATAAATAGGGAGTTTTATCTTTAAATAATGGTTTAGCCATCAATTGGACCCTTTTGATAAATAATTTTGCTAAACATTTCTAAGTATGAACATGAACAATGAGATGTTCAACATTTATTCTAATAGCCAATCAATAATAATTTAATGCTTGAGAAATAAATTCACAAGCATTATCAAGGTAACTAATTGTAATGGCATAATCTGAAAATGATACTCAAAATCAAATTTGTTAGCAATCTCGAAAACATCGGGTTTCGAATAGATAATAAGCATATATGTGATCAAAATCGTAAAATATTTAAATGGTCCACATATATCATGTCACGACCCGAACCGATGAGTCGCGATCGGTACGTAGCCTAGGGTGGGGTGACCCACCATAGGCTACGTAAGCCTTAATCCTTTTTCTATTTCCTATCGAAATTTTGACAAGCATTTCCCCTATAATTGAAAGGTCCTAAAAATAATATATAACCCGCATAAAAATTCATAATATACATACACTTCCAAATCATCTTCATGAATTCTCAATCATCATCAAATCCCTCAATTAGCTATCCACACTTCTTCATAAATCTCATCACAAAATAAATTAACTAACAACCATATAATTCAAGATTTAACATAAATGAATCCATAATTTACTATTTAACCATTCAAAATACATATATGAAGAACCTCAACTAACTAGCCCTAGATTTGGTGATGCTACTAGCGGAGCAACTAAGTGAAATAAAATGTATAATAACTTATTACAATTCCAAAATGGACAATGAGTACGGATTTAAA